CCCATTTAATAAGGGACTGGAAATATGTTGGGAGACAGCTTTCCTAGTGCCTATGGGATTGAAGCATGTCATGCAAGCAGCGGCACCAATTGTCACAGTCCCACATATTCTTAAAAGGTGTGTGTATAGAAACTGCCCTACAAAACCAAGTGTCTCCTTCTACAGCAAAGGATACACATGTTTACTCCCCATTGAAAAAGATCAGGATTCCCCATAAGCTCAAGATTCCTCTCTTACAATGCCATCCACTACTTGCACATGTCACCTGGCTCTCTGCACAACCCCTTTGGAAACTGGAGCTCAGAGAACTGGGTAAGAAATGTTGATATTCTGGCTATAGCTATTAAGTTATTCCCAGGAGTCCATGAAACTGTGACAGGTTAACTTATTATCTTAAAAGCAGTAAAATCTGGGGCCCTCTCTGGTAGCACAGTGGATTGGAGCGCAGCACTGCCAAGCTGGCCTGGCCGCTTCAGTGCAAGTTCAATCCCCGACCCTGGAGGTGGCCCACATGGTGGGCAGACCTCTCCTGACCCGTCCACTGCTCCCCTCAGCAGTGTACTTCATCGATCTGCCTCTTCTGCTCCCCACTCTGTCTCTGGTGAATCCTCCACCGCCCCTGCATCTCTGGCCTGTACCCTAGTACTGTATGCATAAATGAATAAATCTTTAAAAAAAAAAAAAAGTAAAATCTAAGAGCCTTCACAATTCTTGACAAGTAATTTGCCTAAGGTCTAATAGCTAGTAGATGGGATAGCCATGATTTAAATCCAAGCTGTCGGGCTCAGAAATCAAACATTAAAATATATACTATATAGGATAGTTACAGAACAGCATCAATATAATTTGTGAACATGTTACAAGTGTAAATTCTTTGGCATTACCACACTTGCTAAATCAGTTATTTGGGAGGTGGGGAGGAAAAGAAGGCAAACCTTGGTTTTAACCAGCTTTCCAGAAGATTCTGATGCACACTATATTTGAAGAAACACCTCTACATCACATATATTCACTGCATCTATAAGGTCGAAGGAAACATGGTATAGATATATCCTATTTTACATAGGGGTATGAAATAATGTTTCATGACTTCAATAACAGATTTTAAGTATTAAGGGAGATGTTTTGTAAGGCCTTTCATTTAATTTTTGGAAGGTAAGAGATCTTTAGTGCAAATCAGGACCACATGTCTGTTGAACAGACCTGTGCAATATTTTCTGATGGAGTTATAAATGTCCAGAATGCTAAATGAAGAGACTTGCTTTTTATTCCCATAATGATCAGAAAGAATTATATGGCCAAGAAGAAAGATTATTTATATTTTAGAGTCAAGCTGTAATTCTTGAAAAACAGGAAACCACATATCAACACAGCCAATAGAATGTATCATAGTAGACAGGGCACCAGGCTTTGAGTCACAGAGTCAAGTCATTTAACTTCTTCAACTCAATTTCCTGATTTTAAAATGAAAATGTACTCCAACTTCAGAGCTGCAAATAGGTTTAAATGATTTGTCATATGACTGTCACTGGTAAGCAGTGTATGTGCTACTTGAATATAAACAACTGAGTGGGTGCCCTCTGGTTTATCATATTATCAGTTTCTTCAATGCCTGGAACACTGTTTGGCACACAGAAGATGCTCAGTGCTTGTGAGATATTAGCAATGAATATGAGCTATTATATTAATGATGTGATTGGATCCTTTAGACCCTACTTGTCACAATAATTTCAGTCTTTCAATAGGAAAAAGTTACTCTAATAAGAAATCCTTAGTCATGTTTAAAATGGGCCAGATAATTTAAGAAAATCAGCTGATTTCCTTCCCCTAGAGAACACTACTGAAGGCGTTCTGTCCTAAGGCTTAAGACAGAAACTTCTATTAGCAATCTTGTTGGCCTTAGAGCTTCATGGTTTCAAGTCTACAATAATCTTTTGTGTATATATAAACAATCAGGAATAAAGGATGTGTAACCCACAAAAGCTATGTATTTCACACTTGTGCACTGTTGTAGAATTTTAATCAGTGGAATTAGGTTTATGTAATTTAATAAGTTATGTGATCCAACTCAGCAAATATTAAGTTGCTATTATATAAAAAGAAGAACGGGACTGCAAGAAAATCATTGAAATATATTGTGGGACCAGAAACCATTGTTTAATTTATGAAGAAAATATAATTTATTACAGATTAGTATTATAGAAGACAATATTTATGGAAAATCCGCTTATGTAATTTGTACCTTCTCCAATATACTTTTCTCAGTCTTCTGAAAAAAAATTAATTAACAGTATAGAGTCTTAAGATAAGGAAAACTTTGGGCATTTACCTTCAATAGATATAATTAAGATAACAAAAGAATTATAGCTGAGGGACAGTGTAGGACTTTAGTACTAAGGAACATATCCAAGTTATGTTGCCATAACTTAACATATACGCAGGGTATATTATTTTCTATGTATATCATATATTGATGAAAATATTTGTATATGAATCATCTTTAGTTTTTTGAAAAGTAAAAGTATAAATCTCAAAAGTTTTAATTTTTAAGCAATTTCATAAGAATATAAATTACAGAGATGGGCATTATTTTAACCATCTTTTCAACTCCTAATGCAAGATATAATTTTAACAATCAAATGGCTATCATGTTTAGGAAATAAAAATCCAGCTCATATATTAATCAACAGTTCTCTTCCAAATTTAATCCAAAAATAAGTCTTGGTTAATAAAAAGGTAACTTTTTAGTTCAACCAGCTTCTTACAAAATTCAGTTAAACCAGATTGTAAACAAGAGAGACAGCCAATTTTGATGTAGTCTAACCACTTATCATCTTGTAACCACAGAGTAAAACAATGACTTCTGCTGGCAAAAAAAAAAAGCGTATTATGTATCTTGTAAGAGAAAGCAACATTTACAATCATCTGAATTTTATTCTGCCATATAGTCTCCATCTTTGGATGACCTTTATATTCTAATTTAATACACTGTGATTCTCAAATTTGTATTTTTACAAAGTTGAAGAATGAAGCCAATATGAACCATAGACGTTCAATTGCTATAGAAAATAGTGAGACATTAACTATCACTACAAATGGAAAGCAGTAAGTTCACTGTAAAATACATGTAAGCCCAAACACAAAGCTCATCATTCTTGAAAAGTTATGTTGGGAAAAAAGAGAAGGGGTTCTGGAGTCACCCATACCTAAACCCACTTCCCCCCCAGTCTTCAATACCCCTTTGTCATAAAATGACCAAATTAATCAAGGGTACTTTCCTTGGTTCCTCTCTCTTAAAGAAGCTGAATTCAAATTAGTTTTCCTGTTTTTAAGTACTTCTTGTCCACTTGCTCCCCTGGTCTCCATTCTCTGGGGCTGGATCATTCAGTTCTCACCTTTTCTATTCTGCATATTTATAATACAAGACTTTGCAATACTGGCTAAAGATAGCACCTTTAAATGAAAGCAGGGGAACCATGCAGAATTTCAGCTCTCCTGTGATTTTATTTCCAGAATATTCACTCAAGGAATCCTTTCCACTAAAGATGAAAGGCAAGCTAAGGAAATACATTAGACAGAGGAAGTAAACATTGAAACAGGGCCATGGCTGGGTATTCTTAAGCCTCTGGACAGAACTGGACTCCTCCTGACTTCTGAGTCTAAAGGTCATTTTTTTTTCTTACCTTCTATCCTCACTCCTTGACATCGCACAGGTGCTGCATTGGTATCCCACCTCCACCTACCTTCTACGAATTCAGCATGACCTTGTTCTTTTATATCGTGCACAAACAAAACCCCCTACACTCTCAGGCTGCTCCCGAATCTGATTAGCTCCGTGCCTCTATTACTAACCTCTTCGTACTGTGCAACAGTCCCAGGGAACACCACGTCTTCGCCCTAAGATATGGTTTCTCCGGGAAGGTTTTAATCTGTCTGGTTCATCTAGGGAACCCAGCTTACCCACCACCACTCTACCCCACCCCCACCCGCCCGCACCCAACGTGCACCAAGGGGATTAAAATGAGCCTATTCCAACCCTAAAACAAAACAAGGCCTTTCCTTACAAACCCCATCCTCAGCAGAGACTGGCTCCGGGGAAAAAACCGACACGTCTTCCCCTCCAACGCCAAGGGTCTTCCAGGGACAATTTGCATAACAATTTGGAGTGCGTGCGTGCGTGCGTGCGTGTATGTGTAGAAACTCCTAGAAGCCTAACCTAGGAAGAAAGTATCACGACACTCGAAGGTTCATCACAGCCTCATTACTCTAACACCATTACACTAAAGTAAAAGGTCAAGTCATACCTTCAATTCGCGGACCCCGCCGCTTGCGGCCGTCACAGCGGATCAGACACCCGAGTTAAAAACTTGGTATCGAGAAATTAACTAGTCCCGTGTTCTGACGACGCCATCTCCCTCTGCCCCGAAAGCAAAGCTTAGTAGGTGCCTCCAACTTTCCCCTCCTCCAGCGGCTGCCCACCACCGACGCACCGACGCTCCCTCTTACTCCTAATTAAACCGGACTGGCGCTACTGATCTCTCCAGCTAGCACAGAGGGTCGACGCCGGGGGAGGGGAACTCTGGACGCGAAGCGCAGAGCTCCGCTTACTCCCCGAGAAACTTCTGGGACGCTTCTGTTACGCAACCCAAGGATCAGCCTCTAAAAACCAACATCTTTCCGCAAGACGCGGGGCGCAAGGCAGCGATCCGATTTGGGGGGAGCTGGCGAGGAGGACGGGTCTCTCTCCGTCTTCGCCTCGCCCGTTTTTCTAGACAACCTGCCTCGGATTTGCAAGCGAGAACAGTACCAGCTCGGCGTCTCTAGACCTTCGCCTGCTCCTCCCGAAGATTCCCACCGGAAAAGTGGGAACGCCAGGGACTTGAGTCAGCGTGCTGGGAAGCTGGCGGCGAGGCAGGGAATGCCCGGCCTTCCCAGAAGTCAGCGGCAGCGGCGCTCGGGCCAGGCTGACCCCTAGCCCGGGGGCACAGCGCTCTGCTTACCTTCCGAAGCCTTAGTCCTCCAGGCAGTGCCCGGCGCCCTCGCCGCCTCCGCCCTCCCCTGACCTGTTGCAGTGGGGAAGGGGCGTGGGTGCGGAGGACACAGGGGAGCACCGCTTCCCGAGGCTCAGACGTGCCTCAAGCCGGGCTCCGCTCCTCGGCGGCGGAGGTGAGCGTGCAAGCGGTGCCCGCTACGCGCGCGAGCGGCGTCCGACTGCGCAGGGGCCGCGCTGACTCGCAGGCTCCAAGCGCCCGCAGCCCCTGCACGCCCGGAAGGTGAGGCCACGCCCTTCTCGTGAGGGCCCACCCCAAGCTCCGCCCATCCCTCCGCCCAAGTCTTGGTACCCAGCTCCGCCCACCCGCACTCTCTAGCTGGCGCCGCCCAAAGGGAAAGGGACGTCACTATCCTCGCCTGGACACTAGTGGGAGGATAGAGGGGGAGCAGCAACTCAGAAAGGAATATAGCAGTGACCTCCTCCGCAGCGTGGGTCATCCTCCTGAGTGGGTCAGATACAGGACGCGAGAACCCTTTTCCGTGACAACCAGATTAAGCACAAGGTCAAATTCTGATTCAAAGTGTCAAGGAGGCTTTTTGCAGCCCCTGTACAATTGGAACAGATTCTGTGCTCGCCAAAGGAGATAATAACTAACATCTGGGCAGCATTTTACTGTTAATTAAGGACTTTTCACACACAGGCCTGTCTCGTCTTCACAACCACCTTCTAAAATATCACTATTGCCGTTTTCCAGATAATGAAAGAAATGAAAAGTAGTATGCCCAATATCACAAGCTAACAACGTGGCATGGCAAACTAACTCTCCTGGATCCATATACCAGGTTCTTACTCGTCAAAGGGCAGCCCCCGGCACCTTTATTCAAAGAATAAAGGTGTGCACAAAGGAAGAAGAGAAAGCCAGGGCCAGTTAAATTGCTACCCCAGTCCTATACCACACATCAAGGAAAGCATCAAGCAATCTTTGCATTCTTTTACTTTTCTCTCTGAAAATCATGCAGAGTGGTTGTGTCAAATGCCCACGTGTTTTGTTTTGTTTTGTTGCAATATCGTAATGATTTTAAAGGGCTAAAATTATTTGAAGAAAATCACCTTAATCAATTGTAATGTAAATATAAAGTAACATAATGCATGAAAATAACCACTCCAGGCCCTTTCTTCTCTTCTCTTTCTTTTTTAAATGTCTGTTGTTTTGCCCCTCCTAACTCCTTTATTATCCAGAGGAACAGTGTTTGATTGAGAACTTAATCAATAAATATTTGCATTTCCAAATTAAACCCTTGACTGCTTGACTTAATTTTTAATGGATTGTTTTCCATAATCTACCTTTTCTCCCTATTCCCAGTGCCTTCACTGTGATAAGAATTGATTTACTTTAGCTCAAATAATTAAGATGTCCTTGTTGAAATCTGGTGTGCCCCTATATAAAAGTTTTGGAGGTCATCCCAATGCAGGCTAAGATGGAGGAGTCACTGCTGACAGATAGGGGTGTCTGCACTTCTTAAGGTTTTAATAGAGATTGATATCTATTCCCTTTTTGTTATGCACCTAATGCATGCAGTTGTTATAAAGCAGTATATACGTACATAGTATGTTTTATCATCTGAACAATTTTACCACTTTCATCTAAAACTTTTTCCTTTATTGTGTTCCTTTTGTATCATCATCTGATAACACCTCCTAACACCATCAAACTGTATTTAACTTAGTAAATAATGTGGATGTGGATGTTTGATAATTTCATTTTCCTGGTTTGGGAACCAAGGAGTCCATTTTGCAAAATTTGTTTGTGGGTGTTGATGTGACTTTTGTTCATTTGTATGAATATTCTTTAGACAACACGCTAGGAGATGGATCACAAACAAAAGTTCCTGTTTTCATGAGTGTGCAGTGCCAAACAAAAATAAACCAGAAAAAGCAATTCCCAAAGCACATGTGCATTGATTAATTTACAGAAAAGTGGTAGTTAATTTTTTAAATACTTAATAAATTATCTCATAATAATAAATAAAAAGCTGAGTAGTCATTTCAAAGTAGGTTGCATTTCTATGTTAAGCTCAGGTCACATATAAATAATTAAAAAGCAGCATTTTATTATTGTTATTGTATTTTTTTTATCAAGTAATAAGGCTTTCAAGAGTGTATATGATTTAAGGATATGGGGTCAAACTCCTCAGATGTATGTTACAGCACCACATCCACCACCAAATTTCCATATTTCTACTAGTTTATTGGGCCCTCTGTCTCCCTGCTTCCCTCCCCCAAATTTCTCCCTCTGGTAGCTTCAGTTCTACAGTTAGATTTCTAAGACTTGTTTTAGTTTAGCTTTTCTGCTTCCTTGTTTTGTTTCTCTGTATTCCACATATTAATAGAATCATCTGGTATTAGTCTTCCTCCTAACTTATTTTGCATTATAAAATCTCCTCCAGCTCAATCCATATTGTAAATGACAGTGTCATATTTTTAAATAGTTGAGCAGTATTCTTTATGGATATGTACCACTTTGTCTTAATCCACTCATCTGTTGTTGGGTACTTACATTGTTTCCATAACTTAGCTTTTGTAAATAGTGCTGCAATCAACTAGAAATGGATATATCCCATATATTCCTTTGAATTGATGCTTTTGCATAAAAGTGCATACATTCCACTAAATTAGTGTTTTTTAATTTTATTTATGTATGCATACAGAACTGGGGTACAGGTGCAGGGGCAGTGAGAGGCTTCACCTGAAACAGAGTGGGGAGCAGAACAGGCAGATCAATGAAGTACACTGCTGAGGGGAGCAGTGGGTGAGGTCTGCTGTGCCTTGTGGGTCAGCTCCCTGGCCGGGAATCGAACTCACGCTGAAGCAGCTGCAGGTAGCTCCACTTTAACATGTTGTGTCACCAGGGAGGACCCCAAACTAGTGTTTTTATATTTTTGGATAAGGACCAGCAAAGAGGAATTTCTGGATTGTTCATTACATCTATTTTTTTTTTAATTTGAAAAACCTCCATATTAATTCCCATAGAGACTAAGCCAGTATACATATCCACCAACAGTATAAAAAGTTCTTTTTTCTTTACATCCTCACTAGCACTTGTTATTTATGGACTTTCTGATGTGAAACATTCTCATATGTGTGAGAAGTTATTTACCTGTGGGCTTGATTTGCATTTCCCTAATGACAAGTAATGAACATTTTCTTTATGTGCCTATTGGAAATGTATAAAATGTATGTCTTTATGTCTTCTTTGGAAAAGTGTCTATTTAGCTATTCTGCCATTCTTTTTATCAAAGCATTTCCCCAGGATTTTCCTTCCTATGTGTTTTCATCTTGCTTCTTTGAGATCCATGATGCCAGCAGAGGTTGTCAGCATAATTAAACCAAACAGACAGGATGGGATTAAGTTATTCTGCCAATTGTCTAGATCATAGAGTTGTACATTAAATCTGGGGCTGGTCACTCCAAACTTGTTTAACCTGTCAGTGAAATTCAGAACAGTTTCCCCAGCAATATGATCATCAATGATTTCAAATCACCAATGCTTTATCATCACAGTTAGAAACCAAATAATGACTTTGGAGAACAGCCTAATAAGAACTTGGCATTGTTACTCTTGAGAACATAAGTGAGGATGTTCCTTCACATCATTATGCCAGTACAGAAAGATGGCAAAGAGGAAACTGGAAGGGAGGTGATTGCATGGAATTATGGCTATTTTTATTTATTTATTAAAGATTTATGTATTTATGCATACAAGAACTGGAGAATAGGCCAGAGGTTTGGGGATGGGAGGATTCACCAGAGACAAAATAGGGAGTAAAACAGGCAGGTGTACTGAAATACACTGCTGAGGGAGCAGCAGGCGAGACTGGAGAGGTCTGCTGAGCCACGTGGGTCAGCTCCCTGGCCAGGGATCAAACTCTTGCTTCAGTGGCTGGCAATAGCTTAAAAGTGCTGTATTCTTTAACCCCTGTGCCACCAGGGAGGACTATGGCTGTTATCTTTTTTTCTTTTTTTTTTTTTCTTTGTAGATCTTCTATGTTAACCCCTGTTATATAGATGGCATGCAAATTTTTAAAAAAATATTTCTTTTTTGCATACAGGACTGGGGTACAGGCCAGAGATGCAAGAGCGATGAGAGGATTCACCAGAGACAGAGTGGGAGGCAGAACAGGCAGACTGATGAAGTACATGGCCAAGGGGAGCAGTAGGAGGGTCAGGAGAGGTCTGCCACGCCATGTGGTCACCTCCCGGCTTTCAGTGCTGCATCCTAACCCTTTTCACCACTAGGGAGGGCCCACAAATATTTTTCTTTCTACTCAGTAGGATGTCATTTTGTCTTAATGATAATTTCTTTTGCTGTACAGAAGCTTTTTTTGTTTAAGGTATTCCCATATGTTTATGTTTGCTTTTGTTTTCCTTGTCCTTGGAGTCCCCAAATTCATCCCTGAAGCTCAGAATGTGGACTGTTGGTGGTTTTAAATATTTATTTCTTTAGTAGAAGAACTAGGGTACATGCTAGAAGTGCAGGTGTGTGAGAGGATTTACCAGAGACAGAGTGGGCAGCAGAACAGCCAGATCTACTGAAACACACTGCTGTAGGGAGCAGCAGGCAAGACAGAAGAAGTCTACTGTGCCATGTGTGGGTTAGCTCATTGTCCAGTATTGAACTCAGGCTGAGACAACCCCTAGACCATCATGAAGGCCCCCAATTTTACTTATGTTTTCCTCTTCTTTTTTTTTAAGATTTATTTTACTTATGCATACAGAACTGGGATACAGGCCAGAGGTGCAGGGGCAGTGAGAGAATCCACCAGAAAGAGAGTGGGGGCAGAATAGGTAGATTGACGAAGTATACTGCTGAGGGGAGCAGCAGGTGGCTCAGGAGAGGTCTGCCATACCATGTGGGTCACCTATCTGGCTTGGGATCAAACTCGTTGGAGCTTCAATGCTGCACTTTAAACTTTGCACCACCAGGGAGGGCCACTTATGTTTTCTTCTATGTATGTTATCATTTGATGTCTTACCTCCAATTCTTTGAACCACTTTCAGGTATATGGTATATGGTATGAGAGAGTGGTTCCAGCTTCACGCTTGCATGTGACTGTCCAGTTTTACCAGCACAATTTGTAAAGAAACGTTCTCCATTTCATATTCTTGACTCCTTTATCACAAATTAACTGTCCATATAAGTGTGG